TTAGTTTAGCTCCTTAAGGATTGGAATGATATGTTAAAAAGAACAGTGGATTTTTTTTCACCAATAACCAAATTAAAACTGAATAATCAAAATAATCGAACCAACATTAAAATGGGTAGTTTGGTTTTAAATTTTTTTTATTAACTGCTTAAACCGTTTCGATTTTGATTATACATAAAAAGCTAACCGATATTACCAAAACTTATCAATAAACATTAAAAATTAGAAAAACATAGAATTGGACTTCCAATAGAAATATAGTTTCTTTCGGTTAAATTATATTGCAATGTACTTTTAGTTTCTAACTTTTATAGCAACGTAGTTTTTGACTATTAAATCTTTTGAGTGTTCATCTATCCATGATATTTGGGATTGTGTTTCAAAAATCCTTATTGACTTAATGACTTTTTAAAAGATAAATAAGTTAAAAAGAATGTTTGGAAAATCAAAATAGTTTTTTTTTTTTTAAATGACTTTGATCACTAATAAAGAGTTTTCAATAAGTGACTTCTTCCTAACTTTTTAATAATTTTTTTGACAAATTTTTTGAGATAAAAAACTATATTTATCCTTAATGAATCTCACTCAAAAGACGCGCCATTATAATGACGTACCATCAACAAACTATATTTGAGATAAAAAAAACTATATTTAAAAGCAAAATAATACTTTTTTAAATTCACAACATCAACAAATTTTATTTCAAATATTAGTATCCCATAAAAACGCCTGAAATAGTGTATGACGCGTCATCAAGTCTTGTTTTTTCTCTTAGCCTAAGAAGTACCTGAAACAAACCAACAAACTATAAACTACTGCTTAGTGTGTCCCCCAAAACATACCCCACACAATCCACATAAATCACATATAACATATTAGCTATAAAGCTACATAAACCACATAAAATGCATATAAACATATAGGGATGCTGTGGAAACCATCAAAGGTCTTACACCAAGTGTCATTGGAAACCCTCACGTGGTCTTTGTTAGCCGCCACTGGAACCCCCACGTGGTCTTGGCTCACTGCCATGGGAACCTCCACACGGTCTTGCTTAATCATAGAAATACTATACAAACTAAACATGTAAACATACTAGGAAGTCGTGGAAACCCTCCAAGGACTTATACCAAATGCCATAGGAACCTCCTCATGGTCTTAACATATTGCCACGGGAACCCCTCGGGGACTTCCATACAAGTGTCATAGCGACATATCATCAAATCAACTATCAATCCATATATATATATATATATATATATATATATATATATATATATATATATATATATATATATATATATATATGTGTCATAAAATAGGTCGGGCTTGGTGCCTTGGACCCATTGGTATGGTGAGAAGACTCACCTCTATCTGCTAAATCCAAAAATTGCTCTCCTAACAGTCCGTGAACACCTGTGCTGTTGAACAATAATATCATTATCCTAGGTTAGGGTTGAACATAATCCAATTGAAGAACCCAAACCCCAAATCCTATCACAATGTCCCAAAAAGTCTTCCTTTGCTAATGGGTCCAAAGTCCATATCCAAAATCATTAATGGGCCTCATGGCCCAATAAAGCCCAACCACAGTAACCATAGCCCAAAACAGATAAACTAGCCCACTAACTTAAAACGTGACCAGGCCTAATAACTAATTAAGGCCCAAAGGGCTTACAAGCCCAAAACGAGTTCGAGTCCATCTGAGGTGCGTACGCCTTGCGTACCATCCTGGTACGTGCAGCGTACTGAGTCCCTAAGTCGTACGCGTTGCGTACTCTAAGTTACACCCATTGTACAAACATATTAAGCATATTTTCCATTAAGTGCTCAATACTCGATGTTCTAACGTCCAAACTTTAGATGTGAGTCCATTAAGACATCTTAAGGCATAAAGTTGGCAACTTTATGCCTTTGCACATTCTATATGCTCCCAACAACCCATTAAGACCTTTCCAAGAGTCTTAATCCATGCATGAGGTCAAAACACCCATCAAGACTCCATTTTTATGCTATGAATGGACCAAGGGACTTCAGATCTATCCTCCTTAAGCAAGTTGCTCAAACTCTCAATAGGTGTTTTAAGAACATAAAAAGGGACTAAAGAGAAAACCCTAGCTCTAGAAATGGAAATGATAACCAAGGTGAAAGCTTTTTACATCCTTAAGCTTCGTAGACTGTTCAAAATGTAAGATCCAGAAGCTCTTCTTCGTTCAATTTTGTTTCCTCCTCTTCTTTGTAGCTAACACACCAAAAGGGTGGTGTTTAAACACTCACCAGCTCAAGAACACACACTCTAGTGAATTTAGGGTTTTCAGGGACGTTTGTGGGTGAAAGAGGCTGGTTAGGGTGAAGGTCAAATGAAATAAGGATGCTTATATATGTCTTAAGTCTGAAAATTAGGGTTTGAACATTCGTTACGTACGCCCTGTGTACCCTTTGGTACGCCCAGCAAACGTGTCGGCCCTCCGCGATCATCCATACATGGTACACTAACACCCCGTTCCCGAGTTCAACTTAACGAGATAAAAGAAAGGAAATGAGTGGAAATGAGAAGAAAATAAAAGAAATTAGTATTCCCAAGTTTCATTAAAGGAGGGAAGTGAAATGAAGTGGAGGGAAATGAGAGGATCACTTTCCCTCCTAACTTTCCTTCCGATTTGGGAGGATTTGGAAAGAAATAACAATATGATTCATTTTCCTTCCACTTCTCTCCTATTCGGGAACACAAAAGAAAATTTTATTTTCCTTTCTTCTTTCTTCTTTTCTCTCGTGACTTTCTTTTCTCTTCTCTTCTTTTCTTTTGTTAAACTCAGGAACGAGGCGTAAGCGTACTCATGAAGTACACCTAACGTACTTAGGGGACTATTATGCAATATTTATATTTTCAAGGGACTCAAAGGTAATACCTGATTTGGAGTGTTATAGAACTGTTCATTGAGATTTTTTTTCATAATCACCCCTGATTTAATTACGATTTTGCTATCCCGTGGAGTTAAAGTGAATTCCGCGGAACCCTCAGAGCTCACCCTCGCAGAAAGCGTGTTTATACGAGGAAATCTGATTTTTTGTGACTAAAATTCGAAATTCCCCCTCAAAAAGGATCTATTATAGGCAAAATTCCAATAAGATTTACATCAACCCATCAACATAACATACGAACAATAAGCGACAAATCAAAACAAAAAATAAATAAAACACATAATAATGGTTAACCATTTAACCGATAACCAAACCCAATTTAACATGACAACAAAAACCGATTGGTTACGAATTTGCATTAACGACTTGGTTCCATTATTGCTCGATTTTGGTCACAATGTACGATGTGAAGTGGGAGAAGAATGACAAGGTGAGAAATGTTTTTTTTATTGTTTATTTTTTTCTTTCTTTTATATATATATATATATATATATATATATATATATATATATATATATATATATATATATATATATATATATATAGGGTTAGGTTCATCTGAGACCACCTATATTTTGTGAGACCGTGAGACGCATTTTTTTATTTATTTATTTATTTTTATTTTTTTTAGTTAATTCAAGTTCCGAAAATAATATTTAAAAAAAGAATTTTTAGATTTTTCCATTTATTTTGCATTTTAAAATTATTTTTTAGAATATGTCAGTGTAATATTCTATTTAGAATATTTCACGTATTTTTCAAAAAAAAAACGGAATTTTTTATATTTTTATATTTTTTTTAGTTAATTCAAGTTCCGAAAATAATATTTAAAAAAAGAATTTTTGGATTTTTCCATTTATTTTGCATTTTAAAATTATTTTTAGATTTGATCTCACGGTCTTACAAAATTAGAATGATCTCAAATGAACCTGAACCTATATATATATATATATATATATATATATATATATATATATATATATATATATATATATATAGACTATTTTATTAGATTATACTTTAAACGAATTGGGTATTTGGCCTATTAAATTCAAATATAGGCTTTTGAAATCTTGATTTATGTGTATCATGGGGGGTTCAGAGGGAATGTAAAGTGGGCAGATGTACATGGTTCAATTAGTTTCATTATATATGTTTATTTAAAAATATAAAATTATAATAAAGATAAGGATTTTTTTTCTTGTTCATCCTGAATCTTTAAAAATATTTCATTTTCCATATTAAGTAGTTCACTTTAAAATTTTAAGGTAGGTCACATTTTGTATTTATATATAACCTCTTAACAAAAAAAGAGAAAAGACAGCTCAAGTGACACACCTACAATATACATAGACTCGTCCCGAGTCAAGTTTAAGTCTTTATAAAAAACGGTCCTTGTGTCCACCTCTAATAGTTGTATAACTTGCCACCTTATGGGTCGGAGGTGAGTGAAACAAATATAATACACTTGACAAATTTTTTGTAAAACAACACAAACAACTTCACAAATGTTTTTTACTTTGAGATCTAAACACTAAATAGTACAGTAGAGAGCTTGAGAGACAATACACTATCGGATGTAAACGCTAGACAAGGTTAATTTTGAAATGGCTCACATATGGTTTCAAGGTGTAATCCAAAAGTAAACCATATATTTATTAGAATTGAGATGTCCAGAGACAAAAATCATAAATTTGAGAAGTTAAAAAATAATTTACCTTATTGAAACGGAGTACTGAATTTGAGGGCCTTTGAGTTTCCATTCGCGTGATTGGGTCGTCAAGAATTTAGCACCACCCAAAACAACATCCTAATTTGGCCCTTCTTGTTAGCATGATTTCTTTTCTCCTACTTTTAAGTAGGGTGGCTTACAATTACATCGGTCTAAATTTACAAAATTTGGGCTTTTGCAAACATGGGCCTAATGACTAAAGTGGAAATTTATATAGATGTTCGAAAGGACTAATATTAGAAAGGCCGAATTTTATATTTCAAAACTTCAAACCGGTTCATAATATAGTCGAAAAGAACTATCGAGCTCAACCACAAACTTTTGACTTTTCAAGTAACCACTTTACAGTTTACTCGCATGGCAACAAAAGAAAAGTTAAAGTGAAACACGTGGAAGGCGGGTCCCATCGCAGCTAACGTGGTGTGTAAATCCCGCAAAAAGGTCAAAGGTTGACTGACTATGTGGCTTCTCTTTCCCGAATTATCCAGCCAGCTTACATGATTTCACCTGCACCGAGGACACCACTCTGCTCCAATCTCAATAAACCCCATTACCCGATACAATTACCATCCAATACTCATTATACACCCACTTTGATTTCTTCAAGCTATTGGCATTCGATCTTGTTACGATCATACTAAAAACCTATCGCAATTCCTCACATACCATTAATTAATCTCCGATGTCTCTGCTTCAAGTTTCGAATTACGGTGTTTTCTGCCAATCTCCGTGTCTGAGAAGCTTCTCATCGAGTCACACTTCAATGTGCTCTTCGTTTTGGGGGAAAAAGTTTTGTTTGATCAATGGAGTTGGAATTTCGGAGAAGACGCAAAGAGTAGGTTCAGGAGGAAGAGGATTTAGGGTTTTTGCGATGTCTGCATCGACGAATTCCAGATTTAAGATGAATTTGAATGAGTATATGGTCACTTTAGAGAAACCGCTTGGAATTCGTTTCGCTCTGTCCTTGGACGGCAAGATCTTAGTTCATTCCATGAAGAAAGGGGTTCGTGTTTTTCTCACTTAATCTGCAACAATTTTCAAATTTACTGTGGTTTCATAGGTAACTTTTCAATTTCGCCATTTTTACTGCATTTTTTAAAGATGTATCGATTCTTCTGTAGGGGAATGCTGAGAAATCGAGAATAATTATGGTGGGTGACACTCTGAAGAAGGCAAGCGCATCTCCTGGTGGCAATCTTATTGAGATTAAGGACTTCAGCGATGCAGAGTATTTTCATATTCCTTTACCACCATATCTTAATCAGCTTTCCATCTCTTCTGATCTATTCAAATATCTGGTTTCATCCTTGCAGGAAGATGATGTTAGAGAAATCCGGACTTTGTAGTCTTGTTCTGGAAAGACCTTTCTCCCCTTTCCCAATTCAACATCTGCATCACAAAAGCGATCTAGATGTCCAATTTAACAGAGGTCGTGTTCCTATTGCCACTTGGAACAAATCGATACTCACATCGAGTTTAAGAACATCTTTCGAGGGCAACGGGAATTCAGGGTTTATCATGTTCACCCCAAGATTTTCCACACCAAAAGGATGGAATCTTTTAATCAACCAAAACGGACAACCACGTGCAAGAACACGCAAAAACATTCCCGATGAACCATTTACTCAACTAGTCACCATTTTCTCTGAAGAAGGATCTGGAGATGACTGGTCACATGGTGGCTTCCCACTTGAGGAATATATCAAAGCATTAGATCGTTCTAAAGGAGAACTTTACTATGATCATTCTCTTGGTATGCGTTATAGCAAGGTCAGAATTCAGATCTCCACATCAATTCAACAACTTGATTCATAAATTAAAAAGATAGACTTGTTATCCTACAGATTACAGATCAAATGTACGTGGGGTCATGCATACAAACAGAATCTGATATAGAGACTTTAGCTAATGTCTCCGGAGTCACTGCTGTACTAAACTTTCAAGGTGGAGTTGAAGCAGACAATTGGGAAATCAATTCAAAAGCAATCAACGAATCATGTCAACAGTATAATATCCTCATGATCAACTATCCAATAAGGTAAACATCCAAGTTGTACTTTTTCCTTGGGAGAAAATTTGTCTTTCTCTTTCCACTGTTTCTAATCTTATTTTTACAGGGAAGGAGACTCGTTTGATATGAGGAGCAAACTTCCGTTTTGTGTGGGGCTTCTTTTACGGTTGCTGAAAAAGAACCATTGTGTTTATGTGACTTGCACTAATGGGTTTGACCGGTCTCCTGCTTGTGTGATTGCATATCTTCATTGGATGACTGATACTTCACTTCATGCAGCTTACAATTATGTATCTGGATTGCACACGTGTCGCCCTGATAGAGCAGCAATTGCATGGGCAACATGGGATTTGATAGCTATGGTGGAAAATGGGAAACATGAGGGACCCGCTACCCATTCTGTCACATTTGTGTGGAATGGACATGAGGGAGAGAATGTGGAATTAATTGGAGATTTTACTGGGAATTGGAAAGAACCAGTTAAAGCAGTCCATAAAGGTGGGCCCCGATATGAAGCTGAAGTTCGACTTGCACAAGGGAAGTAAGTTCTAGCATTCTACTTTTAATTTATGTTGACTATTTTGGTCAAACTATGTGATGTGACTAATATAATGAGATGTTTGTTTGATCAGGTATTATTACAAGTTTATAGTGAATGGGGATTGGAGGCATTCAACAACTTCACCTACAGAAAGGGATGATAGAGGGAATGTTAATAATATACTTGAGGTTGGTGACGTGGCAAGTGTCCGGCCTTCTATTCAACATCCAAAGAAGGTATACATGAAATATATTTCAAAATATATCTTTAGGGTAAGACATATACTGACATTGTATTTGTTTTAGGATGCAAATATTGTGAAAGTGATTGAGAGGGCATTGACAGAAAATGAGCGGTTTATGTTAGCAAAAGCCGCTCGATGTATTGCATTCTCTGTGTGTCCTATAAGGCTGGCTCCCAAATAGTTGCATATCAATCATACCATACATACAATGGCTTTGGAACAACCATTGATTGCCATCTAACAGATTTTGCTTCTGGAGTCGCTACAAGTATGACACTAATGAAGAATACTTTTTGAAGCTTAAGAAGTTTCAAGATAATGGGATCCATGGCATCTGGTTGGTATCTTCTCTCTTTTTGTTATTTTGTCAACTGATTACATAATTTGATACACATACATAGATACATACCTGTTAATTGTTTACATGTATACATTGCAATTATCTGTAAATAATTTATAACCGTATGTAAAGATCGGACACGAAAGTGTATAAATGCGATGCAATTGCATTATGTATACTTTTAAGATACCCATATGGCCATATCCCTAGTTATAGTATATCCAAATACCCTTGCTTCTCACAAAACAAAATTATCCTACAGACGTTCAGCAAGAAGTTTGTTTATGCAGGAAGTTCGTTTATACTCATGTATTTAATAAAGGAACAAACATCAACAATAGAATCAAATAGATGCAAAACCAAATATATTATAAAACAAGTTAGATAGAAAGTGGAGCTTCTAACAGTTATTTAAGATCTACAATTTCTGGATTGCATGAAAATATAAAAAATGGCACTTTTAATGGTTCTTGATTTGGATGTTTATGTTCATATATGTCTGCTTATGTTGTTTTAAGTTTGTTTGTTTAGTACCTTAACAAACATACAACATACAAGAACAAACATCAACAATGTAACTTGTTAAATGAATGAACATGAACAATAAAATCCGTTCGTTTATGTTCATTACGTTTGGTTCGTTTATAGTGTTCTAACTTTTTAAAATAACTTCTAACGTCTTGATATAAATGAACATAATGCCTCATTTACTTGATCACACCTCCATGACTCCATCTTTTATATGCAAACACTCCAAAAAGTGTTTATAGTGTTTTACCACAACATTAACTAATCCAAACACTTTTTAAAAGCTATATTTGCCATTGCACAATCATATAAGTGTTTTTTTTTTCTCAACTTAAATCCAAAGTCCAAACACCCCCTTATACTAATTACACTTAGGTCCTTCCCCTTGAAGCACACAAGCATAAAATTCCATATTCTCATCAAAATTTGAAATTCAAGGACAATCAAGATAAATGGCAACTTGTTTAAAGACTTCCTTACAAATGTTTTACGATTACAACAACAGAGACAAATAGATTCAGATGGTGATTTTCTTATTCCACTTCAGATTCAAAACCAATATGACATCCCATCTAAGAATAGTTATTATTTGTAGTTTTCACATCAATCATGATTCCCATTTCCCAACAGCTCTCGTTACACTGACCTCTTATGTTTCATCAGGCTTTGGTTCAAGCATAACAGGAATCTTCTCCACATGATCACCACGCAACACCTCAACAGTCACCTGAAACCATCCACAAACAACTTCCAATTACATCTTTAACAAACTAAAAGACCTTACAAAGTTCACCATGAACTTACCTTCTCACCCACTTTGCATTGGTCAAGAATTCTGTATAAATCACTCCCATTAGCAACCTTTTTCCCATTTACCGATGTTATTATATCACCCAATACAAGTCTCCCATACGCATCACGTTTTGTTGATACAATACCCTGCACAAACTCAAATTCAGATTATTAAGTTTTGGAAGCAAAAGTGAAAGTGAGATGATTAATAAGAAGACAACCACAAAATTACCGCTTTTCCAGCTGGGCCATTTGGAGGAGCATCTAACACAAGCACTCCACTTACTCCTAGCTGTTCCACTGATTGCTCAGGTGCAAACTTTATCCCTAAAATTGGTCGTGTAACTTTCCCAAATTGCACCAACTGGTCAACAATTCCACCTACTGTGTCAACCGGAATGGAAAACCCAACACCAGAAGATGCACCAGATGGAGAGTATATGGCTGTGTTTATACCAATAAGGCTGCCTGAGCTATCAAGAAGTGGCCCTCCACTGTTTCCAGGGTTGATTGCAGCATCTGTCTGAATTACATCTTGGATTGGGCGCCCAGTTGCTGCAGAGCTTATTTCTCTCCTTAGCCCACTGTCAATGTATAAGGATCAAATTCCAAACATGTTTCTTTAAAAAGTACGTCTTTTGAACTAATTTCATACCTGATGACACCAGTTGTAAGCGTGTGATCAAGCCCAAACTGCAGTTGGATAAGATGTTATGGAGATATTAGCAGAAAACACACAGCATACACATACATTCATATATGATATATATATATGTATCTACACTCACAGGGTTTCCAATAGCAAAAACTTTTTGCCCAACAAGCAAGTCGGCTGACACGCCAACTGGGATTGGTCTCAATTTGTCTTTTGGTGCATCGATAAACAATACAGCAACATCTTTATCTTGGTCAAAACCAACAACTTTTGCATCATAAGTGGTTTGATCAGCGAGAGTTACTCTGAAAAAACATACATCAGTTCAATCTTAGCAGATAAAAGTTATGGATTCATAGACATTTCTAACACAACTTAATAGGGAGGATAATCAATCAGTTCGTAGTTCAACACAATGGAATTACGAAAAGCAACAAACCTGAGATCGGATGCACCGCGTATAACATGATAATTTGTGACAACGTGACCGTTTTTATCCCAAACAAATCCTGATCCAGATCCTTGAGGCACCTCCATCACATCCAGAGTAAACGCATCCTGCCTAAACCACATAATATCAATCTCAGTTGATTCCACGAAATCAACAAGCCAAATGTAAGCAATTAAGCGTCATAAGTTCATAACCTGTATAGCTTTTTCTAATGATCTCATGAAATGAGCATTCATAACTAAAAATTTATGCAAACGAGTTGGATCATTTACGGTTATACTATATAACAGAAAAAATTGTGCTCAATACTTCGATTATATCACTCTGCATCAAATCCAGCAAATACAATGAAGGACACAAAGCAAGTATCCATCGAAATCGGAACAAGTAAGCTAAATACCTGGAAGCTAAATTGGTAATGTAGACAACAGAAGGAGTATTCTCCTGGAAAAGACGAACAGTGGCGAGCTCATCCGTCTGCAACTTCCTAGGCGTAGCAACAACGAAAGCGGCAGCTGAGTCCACATCGGTGACGAAAACAGAGGCGGAAAGAGCTACGGAAGTGCAAATCACGAAGCACGAGTTCAGAAATTTGTCCAAGGAGGATCTGTGGGTAGATTCCGGCGTCGGAGAGTAGGTGGGGTGAGAAGGTTCGCGAAGAGAAGAAGCGACGATGCAGGAGGTATGCCTATAGCTATTGGGTGTGCGAAGAGAGAGGGTTCTAGAAAGAGAAGGAATGGTGGAGTTATGGGAAGGAAGAGAAGAGAAGGCGCATGTGGAAAGAAGTGAATAGGCAGCCATTGCTGCTCCGTGTGCTTAGACAGTCAGTCAGTCACCGGTCACCGCTTTCTCGTTTTCTGTTGGATCATTTTATTTTAGTATTTCTTTTCCACATGGCTCTTATGTTTTTTTTTTTATCAAAGTTTAAACCAAATGATTAGAATATTTTTCATATTTAACAACCTTATTTTATCGTAAATTATTATATCATTATCCTGTATTGTATTTTTTAGTTCATTACTTATTTTTGAAACAAAATTATGAAAAAGGTCAATGAGAAACATATATAAAGATAATAAAAAATAAAAATAAAAAACTATATAACATCATGCTTCTATTTCACTAGTTCATTGTAATTTGTAGGGAATATGACTTATCAAGGTAATTAACTTTTTGTTATGTTCACATCTGGGTAATTTATCTTTTTTTGTATATATCTAGGTAACAAACTTTTTGGAAGTGTTCACATATGATCATTATGACCTGCTATAGCAGGTTAAATCCTAGATGTGAATGCTTTCAACAAGTTTGTTACCTAGATGTGTACAAAAAAAAAAAATAATTACCCAAATATGAACAAAACGAAAATTAAAAATTAAATTACATGAATGGTCCCTGTGGTTTGGGAGACTTTGTGGTTTTGGTCGCTAATTTATATTTTTAATTTAAATGGTCCCTACTGTTTATTTTTGTTGCGCGTTTGGTCCCCGTCTTACCTAAAAATACTATTGTGCCCTTATTAATTTATTTTTTAAATTAATTTTATTATCTATGTATTTATTTTTTTACATATTTAAAAAAATTAATAGACCACATATATTTGTATCTCCTCGAATGATTTCTAATGTTTATTTTTAATTAATTTTTTTTTAACTCGGATGATCCTTACTGTTATTTTTGTTACGCGTTTGATCTCTGTGTTATCTAAAAATAGTATTTTTCCCTTATTAATTTTTTTAATTAATTTTCTTATTTATGTATTTATTTTTTATAAAAAAATTTAATATACCCCACATATATGTATCTCATCACCGTAAACCTGAAACCACATTTGAGAAATTTAATTTGAGTCTTACCATTCACCATCTCATCTATGATCCTCTCAATCTTCTATTTCTTTTCCATCTTTAGTAACATCGAAGTCTTCACCGTCTTTTTTTTTTTTTGGTACTTCAACTCTGACGAACCAACACCATAACCTACTGTCTCTTCATCTTTAGTGGGTTGTGGTGTTGATTCGACGGAGTTGAAGGACCGAAAAAAGAAGTGATGATGAAGACGTCGATATCACTAAAGATGAAAAATAAATAGAAGTTGAGAATGATGAAAGATGGGATGGTGAGGAGATACAGATATGTGAGGTCTACTAATTTTTCTTAAACATATAAAACATAAGTACATAAACAAGAAAACTAATTAAAAAAATTAATAAGGGGACAATAGTCTTTTTAGGTAAGACAGAGATCAAGTTCGTAACAAAATTAAATAGTAAGGACCATCCGAGTTAAAAAAAAATTAAATTAATTAAAAAATAAATAGTCGGGATCATCCGAGGAGATACAAATATGTGTGATCTATTAATTTTTATAAATATATAAAAAATAAATACATAGATAAGAAAATTAATTAAAAAAAATAAACTAATAAGGGCACAATGGTATTTTTAGGTAAGACGGGGACCAAACGCGCAACAAAAATAAACAATAGGGACCATTTAAGTTAAAAAAATAAGTTAGCGACCAAAACTACTGAAACGACCCAAAAATCACGACCAAAAAAAATTTCTTTAAAAGCATTACTAGAATCATATTTATAAAAATTGTATCATAAGTCATAACATAAATTCTCGAGTATTAATTCAAAACATAATATCATTATCAGAGTCAAACATTCCCAGGCTAACTGACTATGGTGTGTGCACTGCAATCTCCCCGAGCTCCTCTTTTGAAAACTGAGTACCTGAAACCAAAACTGAAAACCGTAAGCACGAAGCTTAGTGAGCTCCCCCAATCTAACACATACCATACAACAACATATAAAGCACATACTGGGCCTTGCCCACTGCATCGGACCAATGTCCGGACTAACTGGGGCCTTGCCCCCTACATCGGACCGAAGTCCGGAAACTGACTGGGACCTTGTCCCCTGCATCGGACCGAAGTCCGGACTAACTAGGGCCTTGCCCCCTGCATCGGACCGAAGTCCGGAAACTGACTGGGACCTTGTCCCCTGCATCGGACCGAAGTCCGGGCTAACTTGGGCCTTGCCCCCTGCATCGGACCGAAGTCCGGAAACTGACTGGGACCTTGTCCCTGCATCGGACCGAAGTCCGGGCTAACTGACTGAACATAGCATAGCATAACATATCAACTAGCATGAACACATATACTGCATACTACATCGGGCCGTAGCCCGGAACACATAACACATAACACATAAAACATAGCACATAAATCCTGTCTGAGCCACGAAGGCATCAAACATACTAACTACTGCATCGGACCGAAGTCCGGAAACTACTGCTAACTGAACGGGCCGACATTGTGGCCTTAGACCCGTCCCTACTGGAAGGAAACTCACCTGAGACTGCTGAACTGATGCTGCTAATCCTCTTGACTGCTACTTGACCTCTGACTCCGAACTGCTGCTCCACTAACTCTTCGAGCTTCAAAAGCCAATAAAACACTTAGTCCAACTGACCTCCAAAGGTCACTAGGTCAACTCTGGTCAAGGTCAAAATCCTAGTCAATGTCAACCTTCCAGGTCAACCCTACTCGCCGAGTTTACCTACTGACTCGCCGAGTTCCTACGCTCAGGGTCTTTCTTATTCGCGACTCGACTCGCCGAGTCAGTCTATGACTCGCCGAGTCCAACTAGTTCCAAGTCCTGTCCTGTCCAACTCGCTGAGTCACCACCCGACTCACTGATTCGAGTCTCAACTCGAAGGGTTTAGGGTTTCGCGATCTGACTCGCCGAGTCCAAGAACAGACTCGCCGAGTCCTAGACAATCTTCAACCAACTCGTCGAGTTGTTCATCCAACTCGCCGAGGCCATGCCTAACTTCATCCGACTCGACGAGCTGCTCATCCTACTCGTCGAGTTCCTCCTCATCTTCAAGCTACTCGCCGAGTCCACTCGAAGGACTCGCCGAGTCTATCCAGTCCTCAATCCATGCAGTGGCTTTTCGAGCCAAACAGAACTTCCAACTCATAGATCCATACTTCTAGGGCCTATTCCCCACGTAAAGTGGCAAACTTTACGTGTAGATTGAGAGATCTATGCTCAAAACATACTAAATTAGGGTTTATGGCAACCATGCTTCTTCAACATACCAAGGGCTGATACTTTAGGGGATTCAAGACCAAAACCAACATGGATCTGAGGTAGCAACCTCAGATCTGAACCTCCAACTCGAATTGGTTACATAACAAACCAACAATGACCAAAACTCACACATAAGAATAGATCTAGATGCAAAGGGAGTCCAAGCAACAGCTTATTACCTCCAATTGTTCTGAAATGACTCCACAATCCCAGATCTACAGTCCCTTCTTGCACCTCCAAGGTCTTTCTTCCTCCTCCAAGCTTTAGTGCATTCTTCAAGGCAAGATCTAGCTCAAAAACGGATATGGCGGCTAGGGTTTGGTGTTCTGGGGTAGAGAGGCAGTAAAGGAACCCTAGGAAGGAGAATGAGACGCTTATATACGCTCCAAGTCCCGAATTTAGGGTTTTCCTCGATCAGACCCAACTCGTCGAGTCTCCTTGGCCGACTCGCCGAGTCGGTCGCTTACACCACGACCCGGATCCCGCTCGGACTCGCCGAGTCCCTCCATGGACTCGCCGAGTCTCTCCTTAAAATTGAGGTCTTCTTTCTTTTCTTGACTTTCCAAACTTTGGGGTGTTACAAATCTCCCCCACTTAAATTAAACTTCGTCCTCGAAGTTTGCTATGATCAACTGCCTGCGAACTGCCTCCAACTCTCTATCTGGGAAATCTAACACCCTTTTGTCCAAAACTCCAGCCACTCACCATGCCGATCATTACCGTTGGTACATACTGAATCCTTCTCCTTTCCATAATTTTCCTAGCGTTACTTCCTCTGACTGGCAATTCTGTACCCCTCATCCGCCTACTGGATGCACTGAGACCACTTTGGTCCAACTAATCTACCGATATCCGAGTTACCGGACTCCCACCGTCACTATACTCCATCGCAATCTCCTAGTCGCTTCCAGCGACTCCTGAAAATACTTCGACTATCTATAACTGTTCTATCCATTCTTCCGCTCATACTGAAACGATGTTGCTGGAAATAGCTTGCTTATATCCCATCTGATTACTCAACTCCTACTAACTCGAGCCTTCCATCCTGAAAGAAAAGCTACCTGCCTAGCTATCTTTACATATCACTATACTCGGCCGAAGGCTCAGCTGATCCTACTGAGAGAGACTTGCCATTTCCAAATCAACCAACTATACCGTCAACACTTGCATTCCAACGCAAATACAATACTGACCCAAAACCCTGAAACCTTCCAAACACTGAATTGCCTGCAATACTGAACCTGCCTGAAACACTAAACTGCCTGAAACGCTGATCTGGCTGAAACACTGAGCTGCCTGAAACACTGAACTGGCTGAAACACTGAGCTGCCTGAAACACTAAACTCAAACCCAACTGTGGAGTCAAGGGACCCGCACTTAGTCGCTTCCACGACTTCTGAATGAAATCTTCCTCTAGGACTAGTTTCCACTAGTTATCCTGTCACTGTGGCTCTAACAACCTTCCGATCCAACCGATCGGGTCCATACATCACATCCTGACATCATCCATTCCATGTCTATCAACATGATGGTTCCCAGACTGACGGTAGCCCTTAACATACCCGAACCCCAACGGTCCACTGCTACTCTGATCTCATAACTGATGTGACGATCTATAGCCCAAATTGCTGACTTAGCCATAACTGAACCATTTGGGAAATCCGAAATCTAACCCGTGGATTCCCATATTCCCACTGCTGCACCCGAACGGGTGGGAATTACTACGTTCCCGCGTTCAACAACGCGCTCATGCTGCTACCAATCTGATAAAAGGCTGCGACTACGCTCGCGGAC